AAAAATAAAATAAAAATTCACCAAAAATATTGTTTAGCCAATCTAGTAAAAATTATTTGGTGTTACAGAGGCTAAGCAAAAGAGATAAACGAATGTATGTCTGTTTCCAGCCATTTTTGTTGCTGTGGGGTAGAGGACCACCACCTCAGCATGGCCATGCTACTCACGATCACCTCTACCCAGGAGGAGCAGTCTGGGCAAGAGACCAGCTCAATGGGACCTAACTGGAAACTCTATGGAATCAATGAGAGAGAGTATAAAACACAGGAAGATGTGATCACAGCTCTATTGAATTATATATTTTAGGAAGTCTGATACAAATCAGGTATTTTCAATGAAACTATTGTATCCAAAGTGAGATGTGCTGTTAATGTAAAATACCTATCAGATTTTTGAAGACTTAGTACAAAAATGTAAAATAGCTCATCAATACTATTTAATGTTGATTACATGCTGAAATAATATTTTGGATACTGAGTTAAATAAAAGATACTATTAACATGAATTTACCTCTTTCCTTTCACTTAAAAAAAGTGGCTACTAAAATGTTTAAAATTATGTATGTGAAATCGCTTCTCCTTCTCCTCCCCCCCATCAGACAACACTGCCATAGAAACTAAAAAAATATTTAAATCAGGCAACTGGCCTGGTGCACTTTAATTGGCTACCCCACATTCTAGGTTTACTATGTTCTTTGCCTAAAGCAATTGTTTTTGGGCACCTAACATCTTTATTACGCATTCCTCAATTAAAGCTTATGTTAATACAGGTCATGTTAAATTTGAAATTTCTGAAATGAATAAATGCTTGAACATCTTATAGGAAAGTAGTATAGCTAGGAGGATACCTTTCTAGTGCTCATCCACCCCGAGCATCCCTCCCCTTTCTCTATGCCCTGCAGCTTACAGGGGTGGTTCCTGCTTGCCATGATTGTACCGGTCCCCAACCAGTAAGCACATTAGAAGACACCCGACTCAACATGAGTCACCTGGACCAATATGACTCTCCTGGAAACTTGAAAAGGGTCTTCATCAGAAGATGGATCAGTAGCATATAACCTCAGTCTATAATAGAACTGAGGAAGTAGAGACGTGTTCTGCAAAAGGAAAGACTGAAGGCAGAGATAGAGATAGAGAACTAGAGCTAGAGCTAGAGAGACCAACTTTCTAGTTTCAGTTTTGATTCCCTACTCCAGAAGTCTGTGAAATACTACCTTCATAATATTATTTCCTTTTTTGACACTGTACCCCCCTCCCCTTTTCCCCGCAACCCGTCTTTTCTAATAAGTACAGTTTTAAGATCATGGGCTTATGAGTCAAACAGACTTAAGTTTGTATCCTCTTCTATAAAATAGGCAAAATAATCTTTTCCTCCTGGGGTTGCTGTGAGGATGAGGTGGGAGGATGTGTGTAAAATGCTGGCATTGGCGCTCTATAACAGGCCTATGTAATGGCTATTATATCACTCTAGAAATCAGCTTACTTTTTCCCTGGGAATCCCAAAGGGGTCCAGAATTAATTCCTTTTACTAATCAAGTGAGGCTGTCCATTGTTCAGTCCATAAATATCCCCTGCCTAGTTTTATCACATGGATAATGGCCTGCTTGCATTGACCATCAGACTTGGACTAAACTGTGATAAGTATTCAGAGGGTTCTCTACTGTGTTCATAACCCATGGCCTCCCAGTGTCCTCACTGAGTCCTCCTTTCATTCTTATTCTCAATGAAGCATTAAAAGAAGGAATATATTCCTTCTGCCATGAGTTTTTGTATAATAAATAAGAACAACAGGAAGAGGACCCTAAAATTGCTTTCTTGTATGAAGAATTTGTTGCAGTGGAGAGTCTATAATAGGCACTTTACATGTATTATATCTAATCTGTATGACACACCTGCAAGGCAGGTACGATTCTCCCCAGTTAATATCACAAACTGAAGTTCCGAGAGGTGAGTGACTTGCCCTAGGCCCCCTGGCGGATGCTTGTACAGTCTTTAGAACCAAACTGGATTGGATGGAACTCTAGTTCTATGGCTGTGGGACCTTGGGTGGGGTGCTTAATTTCTCTAGTTTTCCCATCTGTAAGGTGGGGAGAATACCAGTGTCTATGCCATGACATTGTGGTGAGAACTAAATGAGATAATGCATGCCAAGCATTTAGTACAATACCCTCTACATGGTAATGTCAATTGTTGGGATGGCCATTGTTTTCACAGCCTTCGTTGTCTTAGGTAACAAAGAAGAATGGCTTGCCCAGCGGCATGGCTCAGTGATTGATGTTGACCTATGAACCAGTAGGTCTCGGTTTGATTCCTAGTCAGGGCACATGCTTGGGTTTCAGGCTTGATCCCCAGTGTGGGGTGTGCAGGAGGCAGCCAATCAATGATTCTCTCTCATCATTATATTTCTATCTCCCTCTTCCTCTTCCTTCCTCCTGAAATCAATAAAAAAATATATATTTAAAAGAAGAAGAAGGAGGAGGAGGAGGAGGAGGAGGAGAAAGAAGAGGAAAAGGAAGAAGGAAAAAGAAAGAAGAAGAAGAATGGCTTGCTGGCAAGCATTAGCATCAACCCAGAGGGGTAATTTGGGGAAAGTATTCTCTCTAAGTCTAAGCACATCAAAGCCATGAATGAAGATACCCACCTGTTTTCTGTCCCATGAGGTTAAGATCTCAATCAAGTAGCCTCAGGGCTGAGATTACTTCACAATGACCATGGACTTCACTTCCCACCCTCACCCCATTTTAGTGAGGCCTGTATGAGGATTTGCAACATTGGCAGGGTCTGGTATTGGGGGTAGTCATCTCTCTCCCACCCTTATTGTGTGAGGAGCAGGGGCAGCATCATAATATAAAGAAGACAATGGTAGAGGAGAGAAGCCATTCTAGGCCTGACTTATCAGGGAACTGGCTATGTGACTGTGGGCAGTGCTTTTGGGACAGGTCCCTTACCTGTAAAATGCCAGGGTAGAACTAGATCTTCAAGATCACATTTAGTGCATGTAAATGAAAGTCCCACAGGGCTCTTCTGAGCAATTAAACCAAATTTTATTCTGATATAATTTGTAAATGAAAGAACTTGCCCTTCAGCATGAACTGAAAATGCTCTTTGAGATGAGGCAAGTATTTAAAAAGCAAAAGTCAAAGGGATGGGTTGCTAGACAACAAGAACATCATTTTCTGATGGGGGACAATGGGACAGGTGGATTTGGGAGATAAAAATGGTAGTTTTGGTTGACTCATGAGCAGCAGGTGGAGTCATGGGATATGGCCAACAATTGGAGCCGTGAGACATGGTCAGCAGAGGAGGGGGCATCACAAGGCATAAGTCAACACCTCAGTTCCCCTGGGAGTCTGCAAAATAAACTAGTAAAACAAGATTTTCCATGACACAGACAATGCAGGGAATTTAGTTCCTCAGGTAGACAGAGTCAGAGTTTAGAAGGCAAAATGACCTAGTCACTAGAGCAGGGTCAGAGATCAAATTGAAGAAGAGCCTGGATATTTGGTTCTAAAATTGAGTCCTGATAAATGAGAGTGTAAGACCCTTAGCCCTAGGTTGTCTAAGAAACCAAAATAAAGTAGGATATTGTCCCTTATTAACTTAAGAAAACATTCAAACCTATAGAGAATTTTTATGAGTTAAAAATTGAGTCAAATTGATAATAATTGCTGGGATACAAAATCTCAACAGGTTGAGAACTGCTCTGGAGAATGGCAGTGTTGCAGCTTATTTTATACATTAGAATAAAAGGAGACATAAGAAGGGTTATGGAGCCAAAACCGGTTTGGCTCAGTGGATAGAGCGTCGGCCTGCAGACTGAAGGGTCCCAGGTTCGATTCCGGTCAAGGGCATGTACCTTGGTTGCGGTCACATCCCTAGTAGGAGATGTGCAGGAGGCAGCTGATCGATGTTTTTCTCTCATCGATGTTTCTAACTCTCTATCTCTCTCCCTTCCTCTCTGCAAAAAATCAATAAAATATATTTAAAAAAAAAAAAAGAAGAAGGTTTATGGAGATGGTGTTTGGACAAGATAACAATAAAGGTAACTATGTTTGGTGCCAGGTGAGTACTGGAAATATCAGGGACCACTTTGTAAAGTATATGATTGTCTAATCATTACGCTGTACACTTGAAACTAATACAAAATAATACTGAATGCAAATCATAATTGAAAAATAAAATAAAATTTTTAAAAAGATAACAATGAAGGATTCTGTGGTCTCCTGCTGTGGCTGTGCCCTGGAGGGGTCAGGAAAAGAAGGTTACTCTGATATTTCAAAGGTATGTTATCTTAGATACAAAAAGACAGCTGACCGTCACACTTAAGGGAAAGATTGACTTTTGCCAAGGAAGCTGCAGGCCTAGGACATGACTACCCTCCATGACCTGCTTTTAGTTAGGAATTTTTATGTTCAGGCTATAGTATGTGGTTATTTCACTCTCTGAATTTGTAAGCCCATCATGCAGGCCTCCCCAGAGCTTTCAGATTTAATATGTGGCTCCTTTTTTGGTTCACAACCTGATGAATTTACACCAGGCATCTGATCTGGATATTTAAATTAAGATTTCCACATTTTTAGAATCAGTGGTTTAGACTTATACAAAGCTTTGAACTAAGGAAATGGCATGCAATGACTTTTTTGTCTCCAGGGAAGATCTAAAGCAAGCAGAGTCTTCCCTCCCCATCCCCCCCCCCCCACCTCCCTCTTTCCTTTCTTTCTTCATTTTTCAAATATTTGTAGACCCTATATTTTGGGCCTAGCACTATGCTTGGTTCTGAGAATCAAAAGATGAATAAGGGGGATGGAGAGGGCCTGTGTGACAGATTAACTCATTGGTGTTGACCAGAAAATCCCAGACTGATTGCTTAAGATTATATTTC